TTGCAGTGCACAGAGCAAAAGCCTGCTGATCAAGACAGTGTTGTCTAAAAAAGCCTGTAGCCATGTTGTTTCTTCTGCAGAATATGCTGTATCTCAGCTACAATACTTAGCAAGTACAGTTTTATTAGCACAGGCTACATAGTGTAAATGAGCTCCAAAAGTATAGCAGGGAAAGAAAAACGAAACATACGCATACACCAGTGAAGGAAAAAGGGAGACAGGGTAAACAGGTAGTAGATTAACATACTGGTCAAACGCGATACAAAAAGGAAAACAAAAATGAGTATTTTTTGAAGGATAAGTAAGTAGCTCAGATTAAAAAAAGAAGTCCAAGAAAGCTCAAGCATATATGGATACAATACAACATACACAGGAAAAGATTTGCTAAAAGATAAGGACAACACTCATTTGGAAGAATATAAGATATTAATGTATATAATGGCTCTCTGTTCCACCTTGCTCAAAATGGTCTTAAATTGGTTAACACCGTAGCTAAATTAGTTGGAAACTGTAAAGGAATATTATCTATGATGGTTGGTGCAGAACTGAAACCCCTATGAGCTGTTTGGGTTTTATTTGAGGGTGGGAAAAATGGGGATGTGGCTGCTATATGCCCTTCCTAGCAGAATAAGTTAGCTTTCAAATAACAAATTTTAAAAAAGACATACATGCCATCTTCTCTGTTAGCCACTGATTTCCTGTTTCTCTTCCTGGGATTGTAAAATGGTTAAAATACTATTAATTAGAAGTTAGATGTAATTAGTACCTACGTGGCCCTCAGGGAAGAAGAAAAGAAATACAAGAGAGGTATGGTACGCTGATGTTCGTGAAAGGGTTTGCTACTGAAAATGCCACTGTTTGTTTACTTGAGTCTTTCTCAGCCAGGTAATGCTCCTGTAATGTAATTGTGAAGCTTAATTTTCGTAAAAGCTACCTTGTAAATTTTTGGATACTAACTTCTTGTGGTCTATTAACAATGTATGCTTTTGCTTAAGAGAAAGCCTTGAGGAGTTCCATTCATTTTTTTAAGGGCTTTTTCTACATAGCTTATGCTTATCTTTTTAGGATTGAAACAGACATTAGAAAAGACCTTGGGATTGTCTGCATAGGCCTGGGCATTTATGTGACCTTGTTCCTGCACTCTTTGCTGGCAGTACACAGGCCATCTCTGTTCCTGAAGTCTTAAGAGTGTAGGACTTTGTCTGTACTTATACGACCGCCAAACAGTGGATTTTCAGGTTAAGGTACTGGCAGAGCTTAGTTTCTGCTTGTGTGCATGATGGTGTAGTTACGCCTTCAAATGATTTGCCTGCAAACAGAAATATGCACACCTGAAATCATTCAACTGGTGAACAGAGGAAACTGAAATTATGGTTCAGTGCTGAAGTGGCATGAGTAATCCTCTTCCCTATCTCATATGTTTGCCCACTTTATGATGGAGATCGCTTTCTTTTCTATCTTGAAAAGTGTTCTTATAGCCTACTATAACATGTTCATAGAAACTTCACGTTAAGAAGAGAGGACAATAAAAGTTGTTTTGTAAGACAAAAGTTTGGTTGGGGACTTACATTAGAAAAAAAGAGAAGAGCTTTATATTATCTCCTTATTTGTCTGGAGGTATTTCACATGAAATAGGTTTGAATCTGGAGTTCCAGAAGTGTTATAAGTTAAGAACAGTGTTCTAGTCGGTGGTAAACAAACACAAGAAAAAGGATGGTACAAAAATTTCGAAGTATATCGAATAAAATGTAGCAAAAATGTATATGTTGTTCACCATTCTGAAGTATTTTGTATGACACAGATCTCATGTTTGTATAAAGTTGAAAGGAAAATAAAAATTCCCTTTGTTTTCTATCAATTTGAATTATCTCTCAGGAGTTGTTTTGTTAATTTTCACTTCATAATGAATAATGCCATTTGATTATAAAATGCAATAACTTAAAAAAATGTAGAAAACAGTGTTGTAATAGCATATAAATAATTAGATAGGGACTATCATCAGATCATTTTAGCATAGCATTATTTGGTTTCCTGCACTCTTGCTGCACATGTTTGTATTAGTTAATGAAAAGGAAAATGCAACAGTTAGCCCAGGGGTTTTGTTGTTCGATATAAGTCTTAATTTTAGTTTGTGGTTTCTGCTGAATCTAAAGAGAACAAACAAACACCACATTAGGAGTCTAATGGAGGAACAATACTTACTTTAAAAAAAAAACCAAACCTTTTTCTGTAACTTTCAGAACAAAAGTGCTGATCTCTGCCTTTAAAATGCATCTGTGGTCCCAGAATAAGTAACTCCTTTCTGTTGATTTAGTTTGGTTTTTTCCTCTTTTCCCAAAGTTGTTAACTTTATGGACATTTGTGATTGATCGGGTTTTAAAGATGCTAACATTTAAAGTTGATCCTTCATCTTTTCAGCTTCTGTAACTAAATTCAACTTAGAATTTTTTTCACCTATTTTTCTTTCCAGTAGTCACCAGTGTTTAACTATTACATACAGTAATACATATCGAATACAGTAACCTTCTGTCTGTTGTAAAACTTAGTATTTAAAGAGATAGAGGAAAGAAACAGTATTCACCTTTTTTATTATTTGAAATGAAAGTACATTTGGAAATAAAGCATAGTAATGTAAAGAAAACTCTTGCTATATCTGACGTTCCTTCCCCACACAAAAATTATGGAACATTCCTCAAGATATATGCTTGTTCTCTCATCAAGTGATGCTTTTCTCAAAATATGCCAAAAATAGGTTCAACATTATTGCATAAGTACACCCACTAGAAGCTCAATTAAGCAATGTCCCCAACATTATCTATGTTTATTATTTCAAACTCTCTGTAAGTGAGAGAAGAGCACACAGGAGAACATTTTATTTTATACACAGAGTTATGCTCATGGAAAAAAAAAATCAAAGTCAAAGAAATATACTCTTCTCACTGAATGGCATAGTTTTAATTTCTGAAGCAGGTATCCAACTGACTTAAACCAGCCCCTTAAGAGAGCTCAGTTTCTCTCTTTTGCAATTACTAAAGCAAGTAACACTGGGCAGAGGAGGGGAGCTGTCAGTCACAGTTGTTAATACCAGAGCTTTATCTATTGATGCTGTGAACCCAGAGTAATGAACACCTCAAGCCTAATGGATGGAAACTTCAATCCGATCCAGTCTTCTAGGGAAGGTTAATGCAGGGAGCAGTGAAAACACAGCAGTCTGTGTAAGGGGGAAACATACTTCATTATCTGGTGCAAGTTTTGAGTTTCCTAGGCAGAGGTTTCAATTCTTCTTTGCTGCAGCATTCTAAATGCTGTATATCTCTCGCAGACAAAACAATTAGCAGTGTCTAATGGATTTTTTAATGATTACTTGAAGAATTTATGTTGTACTGCCTGAGATTGTTACTGCATGCGTACCGCATTAGGAGTGTATCCTCGTGCTGGAAAAACAGAGATCCTTATTTCTTTTAATCTTTCTTTGTTTTTTTGGTTTTAATCAAATATGCTAAAAGAAAAAGAAAAATAGAAAAGAAGAGAACTTGCTGCATGTGGCTAAGCTTTCGGTAGGAGGGATGGAGAATGGTCCCAAGAAGCCTAGCAGATAGGTCCCTCTGTGATGGATGGGCTTCAATCTCTTATATGGTAGCTACAGGTAAGGTAGGAGCTAGCGAGTTCACAGGAATTTTCACCATAATTCTTCATAGCCACTGAGTTTTTAATTGGTTGGTTTTGATGTAACTGAAGTCTTATTTGATTGAAAAATCTGTATAGCTATAGTGGTTATAATGACAAAGTATATGCCAGGGGAATTTTCTTACAGATCTTTAAAGAAGTTCCCTGGTTTCCCTTCTGTTGACATTTTCTGTAAAAAAAGCACAAGACAGATACTAAGAGAGGTATTATCTTCCTAATGAAGAATTAGATGCTGAGTTAGAACAATAATTGTGTCAGTAATTTGATGTGATGGCAAAGTGTCTAGAGCTATACTGGTGGTAACTGATGCAAACAAAAATGGATTTTGTTGATCTATAGCTTTTACAAAGAAATAACAAACTTGGAATGAAAATGTTTTTCAACTGCTACTGTCTTCAGCTTCTTAAGTTATGCTAGCTATTCTTCTATATGCAATTTAATTTTTTTCCATACATCTGATTTTCCATCTGTATTTTTTTCTAATCTATCTTGCTGTGTTTACACATATGCAAATAATTTTTAAATGGCATATTTTTATTAAAGTGCATTTTCTGAATAATGTAAATCTTTGCTCTCTGGAGCTATTAGGGACAGCTGCATTTTAGCTCCCTTGTAGTGAGGGAAGCCAAAAAGAGAAAGTAAACACACACGCAAATTTACACACCGAAATCATGACATGTGCTGGGGGAATATAAGAGAAAACCCTGAAGAAATAACCTTTCTGCAACAGTGCTTTTCTGTGGCTGACTACCTCCAATAGAAATGTAGAATAAACATACCCTGTGACGGATGAACTGAAGCTGTGATGCAGTGGGACTGAAGAAAATGAGCTATTTCAAAAGAGCACAACTTTAGAGAAAACTAACTATATCATAGCAAGGGCATAGGAGATAGAAAAAGTCTTCTTACTTATGTAATCTTTAGACTTTTTTATATTGCTACACACACGATATGCTAGCCTTGCTAAATCTTGCAGAGAATTTAGAATAAATTCCTTTGAATGAATGCATTTCATGTAAAAAAAAAAAAAAAAAGACATTTAGGCTACTGCTTTACATTAAGAGATCTATTAATTTAATATGGATTAACTTAATGTTTCAGAATGATGACATAATTTGTATCTGAAATAAAAAAGTTAACTTCTATTTAGCATCATATTTCTTCTACACTAACTGATTGAAATAGCTTGTTATAGTCAGACGACATTGTGGAAATATTGCTAAATATATTTGAAGTAGGTATGAATATTAATACATATACCTACATATATGCATATATTTTAAAAAAATAAAATGTATATATTTGTCTTGCAGGGGTAGATAAGCTGATCCGTCATTTACACAAACACAACATACCCATAGCTGTTGCCACCAGCTCAGCTGAAGCGACATTCCAGATGAAAACAGCCAGACACAAAGACTTCTTTGGTCTTTTTCATCATACTGTGTTGGGAGATGACCCCGAGGTGAAGTGTGGCAAGCCACAACCTGATGCATTTCTAGTTTGTGCAAAGAGATTTCACCCTCCTGCACCTCCAGAGAAGGTAAGAAGGGGAGGGGAAAAATTAACTGAAAAGTTAGGAATATTCTGTTTGGTCTGTATTTGGATATATATTTTTAATGTGATAAATACTTAGATTAAGATTTGATATAAACATTACAAAAATCAGTAACCTCTATTTTCAAAGATGTTTATGCTGTTGAAGCAAGAGATTGTTGGAAAGCATAATTTCCCCTCACTATGTATGATCTTTGTAATGCAGATTGCTCTGATTTACTACACGGTAGTGTAGCAGTAATAGGAAAGTGTAATGATTTTCCGCTCTATGCATAAATCTGCAAGCTTAACTTCACTACTCAAAGTTTGGAAACAGTTATTTAAACATAGATGAGTTTATTTTTCATACATTCATGGCTGATTTACCTCCTAAGTGTCTAAACATTAAAAATACTTCTTTGTAAAGAGGGCATGTGTTTTTCCTAAGCCATCTCTTTCTTCTTGCATCATAATTCTTCTTTTCTGATTTAAAACCAATCAGTTTGAGCAATCGTTCTCAAATAGTCGAGATACTTAGTTTCTCTCTCTTATGTATAACTTTCCAAACTTGATTCTGAAATAGAAATCTGTAGAGAGAATATTTGAAAGATAAATTGAGAGTTAGTTAAAATAATGTCTTTGCTTTTATTTTAAATTAAATTGCCTTTCTCCTTAAAATATTTTTCTCACTTCTTTATCCTGAGTGGAACATAAGTTTTGAAGTTTTGGAGTTTGATTACTGCAGAAAAATGAATTACATGCTGATTTTTAAGGAACAACTTTATGTGGCTTAGACTATGATTACTGTTTTCTCAGTAGGATTATTGAGGGAAAAAATGGTTACACAAATACATAGGGAATGATTAGCTAAGATTCTTCAGCCTTTTATACTTCAAGTTCTCACCCAGGGTCTCAATGGTATTTGCATTGCCTGGGAACACAAAGTGAAATAAGTTTGATGGAATGTGGCGTGCTATGAACAGTGTTAAACTGATTTTGTTTTGTTTTGTCTTTTTTTCTTTTGCAAGTTCTCTTTACATTCTGTGTGTGTGCATCAACCTCACTTGGAAACTTAGATTTTTAGAAAAGATAACACCAAATGTACACGATCATGTTCATGCAGATGGTGGTTGTATGGATATGTTGGGTACTTGTGTGAGTAGGCCTTCTGTGGTAGGTTCTAAATGTTGAGAATCTGAGCAGCAAGGCTGTAAATCTCACCTTAGAGTCAAGTAATTATGAATTTTGAACATGTTCATACTCAATTGAGAGCAAATATTGAGAAGCAGCTCAAGGTTCTGGAGGGATAAGGAGTTGAAAGCTTAAACCACAGCTTAATGTTGCTTTCATATAAAATTATTCTTTCTTGCTTAACTATATGTCATGGGAACAAAAAATCAGGGTATGTTCCTGTAATGTTGTATGGTGTGGGTTTTTTTGCAAAACAGGGTAAGAGGTGTGTAATGCATATTTTTTGATTGGTTGGAGGTATGGCTGTAAGCTGTTCTGTAATTCTGAAAATAAAAGAGTATAAAGTATTGAGAATTTATATAAAGCTGGGTCATAACTGGTATTGTTTCTGAAGGAGAGGTAAAGAAATTAAATGTCAGCTTTGTTAATGACAAATTAAAATATTATTTCATGTGAGGAGCCTAATAGTAATATCCAGAAGGACAGCTTTCCCAAAGCTCTTAGTTTATTTGGCTCTGTTTCAGAAGAGTCACAAGGTGGTAATAATTAAAAAGGACAAAAAACATTAAAAAACCCAAACCAAAACCAAACAACAACCAATAAAACAGTGACACTGTGTTGCTGATATTTTTGTTTATTCAGCAGTAAGTAGCTTAGCTGTGTTAAATATCAAAAACTGTTTGAAGATAATCGTTGCATCTGTATTACACTTAATAATTTTAAACTTTAAAGGATTGTTAGAGAAAATTTCAGTGTTCATTGTAGTTTTGTATAGTTATTTTCTTTAACCTCTGTTTGAAGAAGAGCATAAATGTTTGAACCCATGCTTTACCTTTATATGAAGTTTAACAACACTGAGGATTTCCTTGGTGCAGATAATTCAGCTGAACTTTTTTTTGTCGCATCTACAAAATCACAAATGTCTAAGTGTGGGAATTTAACACAAACATAGAACTCCCAAGAAGAAGAAAATCAAAACAGTACATGTAAAACTATGTGAAACACTTATGACCAATTGCAATGTGTTGGCATCTGCAGTGTTTAGTCCCAAGCGGTGAACTATATAGAGCTATATATCTCTATTTGGATTTCATGCTGAAAATCAGTAACATGGAAGTTTGCAGCAAAATATCAGGAGGTATAGGTAATGTCTGCATAAGCAAGTAATTGCACTCAAGAGAAACAGATTATTAGAGCAATGTATTTGGTGCTTAGGCCCATACATCTATGCTATATGTGATTTGAATGTTTTCCGTTGGATTAGATGTACTCTGATCCCTGGCTGAAAGCTGTATAAGGTTCTTGGGAGCTTTATGTCCGCTTAAGCATTGGAGATTGCTTGATATGCACCTGGAGAGGACTTCTGCTTTAGCGTCCTGCTAAAGCAACCTGGTACACACCAAAACTACTTAGTGAAACAAACCATCAGGTAGCATCTGGCAGATTTGCTGCAAAACTTCACTGCTGCTCCAAGCGAAAAATACAATGTAGCTATAGAAGGCCAAATCCAGAATTTAGCTGTAGTGGCATGCTAGCCTCTGACTGTTGCTGTGCAGGCATACTTCTACAAATAGGCAGTTCTAAAATGATACAAAAATGATATGATGTCTGCTTTACTATCATTGAAGGATGTCATAATTGTCCATCTGGGAATTTCTTAAATGTTGACCTTTTGGTATACAGTCTTTGGTTAACTAGGAAATTAATAAGCATAATGATGAAACCACGGCACAGGAATTTCAGACAAGATACACCTTGCAAATTCAGCCTAAGTCTTACTGTCTTGTGATGCGTGAAGTTTCATATGAACTTCCAGCACTAGTAGCAATGCACTGTCATTAATGAAATGTAATTAATGAAATCAGTCAGGTAATCAAAATGTGATCTGCAGATTAAATACTAGAAATTTTGGACAAAGTCTGCTCTCAAATACACAGACGCAACTTGTATGAAAAACAGCTGGAGCCGTACATACGTAGAAACAACGTGTGCTTGAATATTGTAAAAATTTCAGGCCACGATATTCAAAATACTGTGGTTTTTTCCATACATTTTATTTAGACAATTGAAAAAACTTTTCAAAGCTTTATTTTTGGTTTGTTGGGGGTTTTTTTTAAATTATTATTTTCCTACCTTTATATGATTATAATTTGGAAAATAAGTTGTTTTATATTTTTCTCAAATTACTTAGTATTTTTCTGTTTTTCAAATTTTTACAATGGTAATTCCTTTTAAGGAAACCTTTAAAATGTGCCACAGAGGCAAAATCAGAGTTTCATTGATCACACCACTGTGAAATTTTGTAAATTCAGCTATATATGCCAAGGGATGTTAAAGACAACAAGAAGAGCTTCTATAAGTCCATAGGAGACAAAAGGAAGACTAGGGAAAACGTGAGCCTGTCGCTGAATGAGATGGGGGGCTTGGCTACACAGAGCATGAGAAAGGCTGAAGTACTGAATGCAGCAAGCCAGGAACGCCAGGTCCCGGAGACCAGGCGGAAGGGTTGGAGCAAGGAAGGTGTACGCTTGTTGGAAGAGGATCACGTCAGGGAATACACAAGCAAATCGGACATGAATAAGTCCATGGGCCCTGATAGGATGCAGCTGCGAGTGCTGAGGGAGCTGGCAGATGTCATTGCAAAGCCACTCTTGTTGGGACAGTTTGCTGATGAAGAGAAGAGAATGCTCAGGGGGATCGTATTAATATATATAAATATCTGAAGAGAGAATGTAAAGACAGATCCAGGCTCTTTTCAGTGGTGCCCAGTGACAGAACCAGAGGCGATGGGCACAAAAAAACACAGGAGGCTCTGTCTGAGCACAAGGAAACTCTTTTTTACTGTGAGGGTAACCGAGCACTGGCAGAGGTTGCCCAGGGAGGTGTTGCGGTCTCCATCCTTGGAGATATTCAGAAGCTGTCTGGAGATGGTCCTGGGCAATAGACTTTAGGTGTCCCTGCTTGAGCACAGGGGTTGGACCAGATGAACTCCAGATGTCCCTTCCAACCTCAGCCATCCTGTGATTTGGTGATACACTTCACAGATTTGATCTAAAAAAAAAAAAAAAAGAAACAAAAGTGCTTTTGCTAAACAATATTTTTCTGTTCTATTTTGATTTAAAGGGCTCATATATTTAAAATCATGCTTTTGGAATTTATAAGTATTATATTATTAATTTTTGCTTTAAAAGAACTCATAATAACCTTGCTGTTTGTGTGCTTCTGTGTGTATTTGTATGTAAGATATATATATATCAACTATAACTTTTCAGTGTTATCTTGAAGCAGCTTTGTTTCATAGTAACAAAAATGTTATGCTACTAAATTTATTTCAAATATGGCTCTAACTCAGAGGGTTTCAGACATTCTCAAGCAAACATTTATACATACTTGCAATATACTCATGTCATTAAAAACACATGAATTAATTATTTACCTACTTGAGAATGTGGCAGGTCAAGGCCTTTCTTTCCAGTATTTTAGTTCTTTTGCCTATAGCTTTTCTGTAAAATAAAGGACCATACTAGTAGTGTAATTTTAAACCAAACAAATACCATTTATATCCATTGTTTAAAAAGAGGAAAAGGTTGTAATACAGGTTGTAATTCTCTCTTACAAAGAATCAATCTGTTCTATTTAAAAATTTCCACGTGATGTAAATCTTCGCCTTAATTTAAAACACTATTTCTTTGCAGTTTCTTCCATTTCTAATTAATTAATTGATCCCATAGTTACGAATAATCTCTGTACCAAATCTAGTGAGAGCTCATTAAAATTTTTCAGACTGATTAAATGGCATTAGGATTTATGAGTCTCAGTGGACTTTTTATGTCATAGAAAAGAGAAGTTCAAAGAGGAATTTTCTGAGACTTTTTTTTGTTACAAAAGATGTAGTAAAAGAGTAATAGAGATTCAGAACATTATTACCATTTTGTAATTTTAGTCTATATTATACAAGGAAAACAAGAGGGTGAAGAAGGCTGATTTAGCACTTAACGTGACCATCATTATTATGAGCTTGTGTAAAAAGGATGACAAAACCTATTTTTTTTTAATTTCTTCTCCCTGAATTTTTTCCCTTTTTCTACTTTTTTCCCGCTTCAACCGCACTATTTTTAGTGTATGCATGTAGTGTATGTATCTCACTTACTGTGGTTTTCAGATAAGTAGCTATTTTATTAGTGGTGGTTTTGTTACTCCTTACGTATACCCGCAGGTTGAATTTATTAGGAGTACTTTAAATAAGGTTCAGAAATTACAAAGGCATGAACAGCTGTTCTAGGTGGCGTACTGAGCTGTAAATTGGAATCCCTGCTGTTGAAATCACATATTTTTTTAGTCATCATAAATCTGCCCCTTTTGCATTGTAGAAATGAATTCACTTTTTTTTTTACTCTTTCCTGAATGTTTACAATTCACAAATCAGACATTTTATTTTAAAAACAACAGTATTAAATGGAAAAAATACAGACAGTTTTCAACTTAGTTCAAACCTACATCAATGTTCGTCTCTTCAACCTTGGCTCTAGTCTGTCCTTTGAATGGGCCTACGTTACCGATTTTTCCTCAGCTGAAACACTCTTCTGGACAGCTGTTCATGGTATAAACCGTTCTGATTTACCCATGTTCTGCTGTCTTATGTCCTCGGACTCACAATTTTTACCAGTTATTTTAGCATATTGCGAGATATTTGCTTTTTTCCAGTCGTATAGCCTGTGATCATAAATGGTCATAGTACACCTAACTTTTAAGGCGTGAGGCTGCATTCAGTGGGACAGAGGAAGAAGAGTTTGTAGTAGCTCACTGTTGTTCACGTACACTGCGGTCTGCACAGCAGCAGATGCGGCACGTGCCCGCGGCCACTCGCTGCGTGAGGAGGGACCAGCGTCACCCCACGACTCTTTTCTAGCTGCCTGTGCGTTTTGAGGTAGAAGTCTGAATTTGGGCTTTCTTTTCAGAAGCCACTTGACTTTCTTGTCTGTACTGATGTAATTATAGTTCATTAATTAGTTCAAATTAGGCAGTTGATGGGCTAGAGCCAATAAAGAACTTCTTGTGTCATCTGATTTGTCAGTGCCAACTCCTGAGTAGCCAGGTGGTTCATACACTGACTGAAAGGGCTGGGATATTTGAGTGTTTCTGGTGTATGTGTGTTTCCTTGTTGGGCTTTTTTGGAGATAATTTCCTCACTGCATGCACAGAGTGCCCCGTTGGAGTCCATTACTTGCAAGGTTGTGCTCCCTCAGCGTTCCCGTTAGCCTCGTGTCTTGTGCTGCACAGTGGCCAGCATCCAAGCAGGGCAGAGAAGACTCTCCCTTGGCAGAAGGGTGTTGTGTGGTGGGGATGGTGCTCCCTGGGAGGCGGTGGGACTGCTGAGCAGCTGGTTCAGTGCCAAGAGCTTGAAACCACTGCTCCTGCGTACACATGGCATGCTTAAGTTTGCAGCAAAAGCAGAGTTCACTCCCTTGATGAATTTAGATTACATATGGCAGATTTTACTGTTACTGTACATGGGGTGATTGGGAGGTGAATGAAGTATGTCGCATCATTTTTGTGTACCCAGGTCAGTTTAGTTGTTCCATGCAGATGTACCCTTAAATCTTGAGAGTGGGTAGCAAGTGAAATCTGAAAGGGTGTATCCATTGGCTTGAGAACAGGACGTTTCCACTTGTCTGCCTTCTGGCCAAGGTGAGATGCCAAATTCAGTAGGAACCTCCCTTGCTGACTTTATAGGTTTTTGAGAAACGAGGTTTTTGCTTTCATGTGTACATCCAAAGTTGCCCAGTCTCAACAGCTTGTGTCTGTTTCTCAGGAACTAAGCATCTCTTGCAGTTAATCTTTTGTAAAGCATAATTGGAAAAGTGGTCCCAGCGCATTCTTAAAATGTCAAGAAAAAATGCCTCCATAGAGAACATAACAGCAATCTGGGACTTCTGTTTTCTTTTTAAAGTGGATCAAAAGAGAGGGTTGTCCTTATCTTGTCCACTGTGTGGAATACTTCCTCAGAAAATTGGGGAAAACAGCTTTTTGAGCACTCTTTAACCCGAGGAGTTCAGTCTTCCAGTTTTTGGGTTTCCTTCGGGGTTGTTCTAGTTACTACACACGGCACACCAGCTGTTTGCTCAGGAAGATTCTTGTCTAGAACTTTCTCCTGAATTGATAGAACATTTACTTTTCTTGCTCTACAGTATGACTGAAGACTAATTTCTAGATGGCAAGTTGTGATTTGAGTATTTAGTATGTGTTGCTGGCCCAGCTCTTGAATTCCTGCTACTGTGGGGCAGCACAAAATAATAAACATCATAACTGTTTTTTACATTCCCCTCCTCCCCCATTGGGGAAGCTATTGATTTCAGACAGACTCTGGAGAAATGTCAAGGAGTAAATTATACCTTTAAATTGCCTATTAGGCAATGTAAATTAAGTAGGTATTGAACAATGTGGAGTTTTACACTACAGTGGAGTGTTAAGACCTCCATCTTGAAATACTGCTAGAAGTTTACAGCTTGGGATGCAAAGATCACAGCTGTCTAGTGGAATGTACTTTTTATGTGATATGTTACTGGACAGTCTGCTGGCTGAATCCTGTACCTTCCTCAGCTTCTAAATAGTCTAAGCATGTAGCCCTTATTTGTGTCTCCCAAGCTGGATGAAGAAGTCTGTGATTATGAAGCTCAGCTTCCTAAGTGTCATGGACATGACTGTAGAGAGAAGCATGTGAGATATTTCACCACATCTAACAATCCGGGAGTTCTGAAAATCTGCTATATACGTTCATCTTTTCTCTAAATCCATAATAGGCCACTATTTGATATTTACAAGACAATTAAAGGAAGGAGACAGTTATGAAGTTGTTTGTTTTGTTTTCAGTTATCACACTCTCAGTTCACCTGGTTGATTTTCTTCCTCCCTCTTCTCCTGAGGCATGTGTGCTTGTGTGTGCGCATAACACCCCCCCCCCCCCCCATGCTGGCAGTCTTTATTATATATTTGTTGAAGAAAAATGAGATGTTGCATGGCTTGAAAGTAATTTAGCTCTTAAGTGTTCCAGACGTTGCCCTTGTTACTGCAGTGCATGTTTATTTATGGATGTATTTGTCTTATGGAGATGAAAAAAGTCATTGAAATTCCATGCAAAAAATAACCTGGTCAAGGTTTGCTTTCACTTAATGTATCTGATTGGAAAAGGAAAGAAGGATTATAATTGGTTCTTAGTCTTTGGGGTACCCTACTTGGGGGGTGGGGAGGCAGGAGTATGTTTTTTTTCCTTGCATTTGTCTTGATAATGTATCAAGTAGCTGCTAAGGGACTTGATGAAATGTGATGCAGAATAATAAATTATGTTCTGCAGCCTTCCGTGCTTCTACGTGAGGTGAGTGTGTAAGCACAAAGAGACTGGTACACCTCCAAGTTCTAAAAGCATTATATTCAGATTAGCAGGTCACTGGAGATGCGTTGCTAATTGTTTTAGGGAACTCATTATGGGTATTATCACATATTAATTATGCATGGTAAGTAGGAAAAAAGAGGGGGGAAAATCCTTCTTTTATGATAAATTGCTCACTGACTTATCTTTTTTCTTTCAAGACCTTGAGCATTTTTTGGAGATGCCAAACAGTGCAGTCATTGAATAATTAGATTTTAATTAACAAGAATTTTCAAAAAAAAATGTTTTTAATGTCTTTTGGGTTATAGCAAG